GGGGCACTATACCACCCCCCACCCGCGCGGGTGCCCATGCTTACAACGGTAACTTTTGATGACAAGAATTACACTTGGGTCGTGTAATTGGACGTATAGTTTTCAAAAGATCAATAGACGTGTTGCTAAATATCCAGTGACAACGCATGTGTTGTATAAATGTTTACACTTTATTAAGTACGAATAGGCTTACTTAAGTATATTATATCACAAATTCCTATCCGAATGCCAAAAAAGTGGGTATTAATATAACATGCGGGGATTTTAACATTTACCAGAATTTTTCATGTTTCTTTTTATTAACTCTCCTACTTCACCCCTCCCATGTCTTTTCTCGTAACTTTCAGTCTCGTGGCCCATTAATTCAGGTTCTTACACTCGTCATTGTAACTTCGATTTTAGGTTAGGTCAATGTCCTGAGCACGAGTTGTCCTATTTATGTCTATACAGAATTAACGTATACTTCAATATCAAACAGTTTGATGTATTAACATCGAAGAAGCTGTAAAAGCGAAACGTTGGTAGTAATAAAAAACAAACAAATATATTTACATCTGGAGTGTAAAGGTCGTTTATCTGAACTTTTATTACAATGTGTGACAGAATAGACTATGACGAATTTAGTGTAACGTATAAGGCGTTTCAGCAAAACGTTTGTGTATGTTATGGTATACGCTTCATAAAATAGTAATCAACTTTGTAGGAATTCTTTAAAAGTTAATGATTGGCAAAGTATTTTTATGTAGAAGACACATTTCGTCCGTGATTTCCCGAACAGTAAAACATAAATGGATATTACACGTATCACAACAGGTATTACGAAATAGTTGACCACTGCCATTATCGCCAGGTGAACACAGTTACTTAGTTGACATGATGAAGTTTTAAAGTTTCTGTTGTTAAACTCAAAGCTATATAATGGGCTATCTGAGTTATATAAACTCCATTTTTAACGTTGTAAAACCTTATTCTTACCGCTGAGCCACTAGGGTTGTGATGTACTTAGAGACTAATATCTGAAATGTGTTAACTTCAACTAAACACGCGTACAGTGTGGTATTTTCAGTTAAAAAACCGATTTCCCGACAAGTATCAGAATTATCAGCAATAACAGCAGAGAATCCAACGAGGAAAAATTACAGAAATTCTTATAATTAAAAATATTTGAGCTAAGTATTCATTTTGTATGAAAGTAAACAGATTGCCCATACTTTTGGTGAAACAAACAAATATATTTTTGGCAAAAAAAAAAGAGAAAGAAAATTCCAAATGCATGCCCATGTGCAACAACAGACAGTCCTCACTCCATGTTATGCAACTGTTAGTTTTGAAGGCTTCCTTTTTGCAATACAGAAGAAAGAAAATACTTGGGTTCTAAACACCAACTTGCTCTTTTTTGTCCAGTGGAAAATGTAACCTGATGACCTCTGTTTCCTGATAGCATTGGTCAGCAGTCAGATTTAGTTTACATCAAAGATATTCCAGTTCTAACTTGATTCAAAATAACATAACATGATGTTTTGGGACAACATGGGATCTACCGTCCATCTTGGCTGTCCTATCCTCTAAACTAAAACTATTAATAAATAAATAAAAAAATCTTAAAGCCATTCATATACTTATCTAGCTATCTCTTAAACTCACGTAAATTAACTACCTCCTAAACATCTGAAGGCAACCCATTCCAAAGGCCAACCACCCTGTTAGAAAAATAAAACTGTCTTAGCTG